TTGTAGGTAGGGGTGGCTGATGTGGCCCAAAATTCATATCTCGATATTCTTTAGCTGGATGGCGATATACGAAGAGAGTTCTTAGTCAAAGCTGTGTCCCAGATGTCACACAGGCACTTTTATTAACATACAGCGCAGATGTACATGAAACAATTACTCAGAAATAAATGATCAATATTTATTAAATAATAATGCTCCATAAATAAAATAAAACTATGTTGTTTTTGTGCACAACAAAAAGCTGTGCAGTCAAAATGTAAACTAACAGACACTGAGCATAATAACAAACACAGATTTCACAGCTGCTCTGTTCCCAAGTTCTACTGCGTGACCGACAGCCTGGAGTTTGAATCTGCTTCCTAACCGTGTCTCTTACAGGTGCCATTTGTGGTCCTTGTAGGGCTTTGGAGTTGAAGTCACGCCGCAAGCTATTGTGGGAGCGTGGCGCCATTTTTCTGGGCCACAAATCAAAACGAAGACACTGTATTGGAAGGACGGTTGCTAGAAACATGCTTAAAAGCAGTTTAAAAGAAAAAGGACAGTACAGAGACAGCTTGCGTCCGGATGCAAAGAGGCGGTACTTGCAGAAAATAGCGTGCATTGGAAATGTGGACCTGTTTGAAATACGGCCGTGGAGTAGAAACCCCGAAGACCAACTGCTATTGACGTAGCCTGACATATTCTCGTACCTTGTCTGTGGAGTCAGTGCATGCAAGGTGAACCAGTTTCGCAATTATAGATCTCTGGAGGGACACATCCAATTCACCATAGATTGGGTAGAAGATTTGTGAATACGTCGTCATTCAAAGAAAGGTAAGTCAGCGCAAGTACTGCGAGTAAAATGCGTTTGATTTCCCTGCAAACATTCAGATTAGTGATAGCATAAATTCATTCATGGGGGAAACTACAGTGAGAACATGTGGAGGCTGTTAGAGGGAAAACACAGTGAGTTCAGTGCATTGATGAGACATTGTCCTGAAGGATTTATTCATTCTCTATGGTTAAAGAAATTACACTAATTTATTCATATTTATTATAAATAATCCTAATTATACATCTTGCTTCCGTGTTTGTATCGTGTGTCACTAAAAGTAAATTTTATTTTAGTTTTATACATTGATCAATGACCTGCAGAATCTCCTTATCATATTACGTGTCCATAATTGTCACTTAAAGTCAAACTTTATGCTTTCTCCATCTCTAAAGTGATGACATCCTTGCATTACATACTTTAGGTTCATTTTCTGCAGGCAGATTTACACTATAACCTGCAGCGTTCTATAGATGGACACATAAAGAAATGAAAAATGACATGTATGTGCTAACTTTCTAAACACTTTGTTACATTTGTGATAAATGGATTAGAAAGTAGATCAAACACATTTGTGTCGGCCTTGGCTCATTATAGTTCTTGTCTTTAAATTAACTTTGTATGTTTCAGGTCCTGCACTCTCAAAGACTGAATGAACCAGCATTGCAGCCATGGGTCAGTGTGAGCATCACAGGGACGGTTGAAGACGCCCACTGCAGCTGTAAGGCCGGAGTCGCGGAGACCTGCAGCCATGTCGCTGCAACAGTGCTGATCCATGGCACCAGGACTGTTACAGATGAACCTTCATACTGGGGTTTGCTGGGTAATGTGACCAAGATACAGCCAGAGGTTGGCCATAAGATAGACGTTGTCATGGTCCTGGGCCATGTGGGCCCAGTATTCTTAGTTTTCATGTATTTTTGTATTTTGTTCTTTATTTAGGCCATGCTTCCTGGGTTGATCTGTTACGTTGTTCCTTATGTGTTTTCCCTTCGTGACTCTTACCCCCTGTGTGCCCCTCTGTGTATTTATGAGCCCTCGTCTCTCTTTGTGCTTTATTCTATGTTTTCCCCAGCCCGTTATGTCTGCGTTCTCCCCGTGCTCTCTCTCCTCCTGTTTGAACCTCTGTGTACTTCCTGCTTTACTTTGCCCATCTCCCATCAGTGTTACGTTCACTCCTGCCGTGTCTTGTTATGATTATCAGTGTCACCTGTGTTCCCCGTGTGCATCCACTTCCCCTGATCTTCCCTCATGTGTATTAAGTCTCTGTGTTTCGTACAGTCTGTGTCGCGTCGTCTGTGTTCTCACCTCCATGTTTTCACGGTCAGTCCTTGCAGTGATCATCATAGTCTGAGTTTTCTTAGTTTGTCGCAGTATTAGTTTTCCCAGTTTAGTTATAGTCTAGTCACGCCATCCCTGCTTTGTTTGTGCACTTTGTCTTCAGCCATAATAAAGGCTCGCTTTCTGTTAAGTCCACTCCCGTCTACTCACTTGTGTATGCACCTGGGTCCATCACACACACCACCGCACGGCCTGTCTCTGCAGACCGTGACAGACGTCTCCTCTTCAGCTGCCCAAAAAAGGCTCTCAATCAAAACATAAACAGACCATCTGTAGTGACAGGTAAAAGGAGCCGTCCTCAAAACAGAAAAATCCCACCTGCTACTGTGGAGGAGTCGTCACTGCTATTGGATACTTTGCTGGAACACAGTAAAGCTGTGGGTTGTGGGAATGACCCATAATGTTTTATCTAGGGGTCTAGATTTATGCCTGTAGTGCACTGCTGTGTAAATAATTTACATTTACTGAATATGTACTGACTGAGTCCCACTGTTCAAAAGTTGAATAAAGAAACAAACAAATGTTTGCCTTTTTTCTTTAATTAAAACCACTTTAAAGAAAATCACATCAGTTACAATGATGTCATTTATAGTTTATAAAAGACAATGTTTACACATGACAGCATTTACATGATATCACCCACTACTAACACTACTTAATTTACTGTATCTTCTGAAAAATTACTGCTATTTATATTTAACATATTTTATATTTATAATATTTAACAGTAGCGATTTTCATTTGTCCCTGGTTTTACTACCACACTGTTCGCCAAACGCAGCAAACCTTCTCTGTCTTATCCAGAAGGGTCACCCCTTCACCCTCACATGCAAGAAGTAATCTGATTGGCATGGTGGTATGTTTGAAGCAAGGATTTCGGAGTAGCACTAAAATAGTAATCTCCAAATGTTTTCTTTTTACCGAGCAGCTCCTCTTTGATAGCTGCTGTGTCCGTCCTGTCGTTGCCTGCAGGTGAAGCGATGGGGAGTCATGTTCAGTGAAGGAGAGAGGCGAGGCGTAGAGACAGAAGTGGACGAAAGAGAGGCAAACTTGCGGCTCCACAAGTATAATTATAACGTAACATAGACTATATTGATATAAATGATATTGTCACATCTCATATCTTGTATAAAAATATATCAATGTATTTAAAAACTCGATATATTTTCCTTTGTGCCTCAGAATATAAGGGACTGCATATAAAAATGGCTGTAATTCATCATTTTGCTTTAAAAATCACCCTTTTAAAAAACTTTATTTTAGGTGTTTTATACACTTATATACACTACTGTGTAAAAGTCTTAAGCTACTTCTCATTTTCATGTATATTTTCCTTCCAAGGAGCCAGACTTTCTTGTCAATTTTAAACTGGTCTTGAGCAACACTTTGCTAGACTTTCTGTTTTTTGAAAGTTTGTCTTTGCCGTGGAGGCCTTTTTATTTGCGGTGTCTTTCTTTCTGGATTTCTTTCAGTCTCCAACCTTCCTTTCATATCAAACATCCTTGAAAGAGTAGTTGTCTGCAGATCATCTGCAGAGGAATGGCTTATTGGAAGAGTTTCAGTCAGGTTTCAGAGCTCATCACAGCACAGAAACAGCTTTAGTGAAGGTTACAAATGATCTTCTTATGGCCTCTGACAGTGGACTCATCTCTGTGCTTGTCCTGCTAGACCTCAGTGCAGCGTTCGATACTGTCGACCATAATATCCTATTAGAGCGATTAGAACATGCTGTAGGTATTACAGGTACTGCGCTGCAGTGGTTTGTATCACATTTATCCGATAGACTCCTTTTTTCATGTAGAGTCACATATTGAGGTTAATTATGGAGTTCCACAGGGTTCAGTGCTAGGCCCAGTTTTGTTTACATTATTCAGTGTTTTCTTTTGACGGTGTCATTAGAAGGCATACCATACATTTTCACTGCTATGCAGATGACACCCAGCTTTATTGGTCTATAATGCCAGATAACACATAGCAATTAGGAGGTATGTGTTACCTCCTAATTGCAGAAATGTATTAAAGACAAAGACCTGGATAACCTCTAATATAGGCTTCTAAATTGAGATAGACCTTATAGTACTCTATCACCCAAGAGAACACTTCACTCTCGCACTTACTTGTTGTCCCTAAGGTATTTAAAAGTAGAAGGGAGGCAGAGCCTTCAGCTTTCAGACTCATCTTCTGTGGAACCAGCTTCCAGTTTGGATTCAGGAGACAGACACTATCTCTACTTTTAAGATTAGGCTTCAAACTTTCCTTTTTGCTAAAGCATATAGTTAGGGCTGGACTAGGTGACCCTGAATCCTTCCTTAGTTATGCTGCAATAGACGTAGGCTGCTGGGGGACTCCCATGATGCATTGAGTGTTTCTTCTTCAGTCACCTTTCTCACTCACTTTGTGCTAATAGACTTTTTCTATGCAAATAAAATTGAATTTGAATTAAACTTGTTGTAGTTCATTATTCAATTTGGTAATAGGCCTATTGACTAAATGACAGGCAAAACAATCAGCAACAACAACACATTTTACTTCCTCATATCACTCTTCAGTCTTTTACTTCCAGAAAGGAAACACGTGAAATGTTCAACGTGGTCTCACAGCAGTTTGTGAAATATTTGTATTTAATCTTTATATCAATTTGGTCAGGTTTAGGCACTAAATGCAGGATGTCTCTGTCCGATGATAAATTGTACATCTTTACACAACGTCTGCTGTATTTGAAGGGTTATCAGATACAGAATTTTTAATTGTGTTCCTCTAGATGGGCCTTTTCCGAGGCAAGGCACTATATAAGAACCAGTCCATCTATCATTGAATAACTGTGGCTGACTGGCTGTGTGTGTTCCAGGATAATGGCGAGGACTCCCATCGTATCTCTCCCAGTCCCGTGGTGCACGTTCGGGGTCTGTGTGAGGCTGTGGTGGAGGCAGACCTGATAGATGCCCTGGAAAAGTTTGGACCCATATGGTGAGACAGCAACTAGTGTGTACACTATTCGAGTGTTTCTGCTTTGAAGATATCTGAAACTTGAAAGTGTCCTTGAATGCATTTGATGATTGCAGGTATCGATTATTTTAGTCATTGAGTATTCTGGGGATTTCTCCATTGATTAATCAGGTAATCAGATAGGAAAGACTTTTGTGTAATTAATGAGCAATAATAAATATTCAACAGAGAAAATCACAGGTGTTTCAAAAGGAACTGCTCATTGGTTTCCATTTTAGAAACTACACTGTTTCAACAATTTAACTGCATGCATTTGTCAGAAAACTACTACAGTATTTACATATCATATTAAAACTGATGGTCACTTTGACGGGGCTCCAGCATTGCTCTGGATAGTGACTGAACCATTGCAACGTCTTAAGACCTTTCTTTTTTCAGCCATCCCCTATCTACAGCAGTAACATATCTGTTGTTGTTCTGCATGACCCAATTTTGACTAAACTTCAGCTGTTGGTCAGATGGCCTTTTATTTGATTATACAATACTTTGACATACAGAGGGGTTTTGTGGTCTCAATTATTTCCAAAGTGCTCAGCTTCTGTGGTTGCAAAAGTAGCCCAAATCATCACTCCAAGCTATAATTATACAGTCTTTTCATGACAGTCTGATAGGACTGTCATGAACTGAATCATGTAACGTGTTCTGAAGCCTGCAGAGTCTGAGATGTAGCCCTTGGGTTTTTGCAGTTTCTCTGAGAACTGCACAGTCTGACGTTGGGGTGAATTTGCAGATACATCTGGAAGACTGTCCCTATTGCCAGTCTTGGCAGCCGGGGGTCAGTCCGCCAGGGCCTCCGCTCCTGGCCGCCACCTGGTACACAATGCACCCGACCCCTATGGCGCCTCCTGTGGGTGGTGGGCCTGCGGGAGGATGGGCCCATGTCTCCTCTTCGGGCTGTGCCCGGCCAGGCCCCATGGACTAAGGCCCGGCCACCAGATGCTCGCCCTCGGGCACCCTCCCCGGGCCTGGCTCCAGGGCGGGGCCCCGGTAACCCTATCCCGGGCAGGGTAAACTGTTCCCTCGATGTTCTCTTCATAAGGGTCTTCTGAATCGCTCTTTGTCTGGTCCCTCACCCAGGACCAATTTGCCATGGGAGACCCTACCAGGGGGCAAAAGCCCCCAGACAACATAGCCCCTGGGATCCCTGGGACACACAAACCCACGATAAGGTAGCGATTCAAGGGGGGGATGAGTTCCTGCCCCAAGTGGAGGAGTTCAAGTATCTCGGGGTCTTGTTTGCGAGTGATGGGAGAAGGGAGCCGGAGATCGACAGACGGATTGGGGCTGCAGCTGCAGTAATGCGGACGCTGCACCGGTCCGTCATGGTGAAGAGGGAGCTGAGTGTAAAAGCGAAGCTCTCAATTTACCGGTCGATCTACGTCTCTACCCTCACTTATGGCCACGAGCTGTGGGTAGTGACTGAAAGAACGAGATCGCGAATACAAGCAAGTTTCCTCCGAAGGGTGGCTGGCCTCTCCCTTAGAGATAGGGTGAGAAGTTCGGCCATCCGGGAGGGGCTCAGAGTAGAGCAGCTGCTGCTCCACATCGAAAGGAGCCAGCTGAGGTGGTTCGGGCATCTGACAAGGATGCCTCCTGGGTGCCTCCTGGGTGAGGTGTTCCAGGCATGTCCCACCGGGAGGAGGCCCCGGGGCAGACCCAGGACACGCTGGAGAGATTATATCTCTCGGCTGGCCTGGGAACGCCTTGGTGTTCCCCCGGATAAGCTGGAGGAGGTGGCTGGGGAGAGGGAGGTCTGGGCCTCTTTGCTTAGGCTGCTGCCCCCGCGACCTGGCCTCGGATAAAGCGGATGAGGATGGATGGATGGATGGATGGATCTGGAAGACTGGAAAGACTGCCAGTTGTCTTCAATTTTTTTCAATTTGTGAATAATTTTTCTGATTGTGGAATGATGGACTTCATGCTGTTTGGAAATGGCCTTATAAGCGTCCTCAAACAGCATCAATTACTTCTTTTAGATCAGTGATGATGGCAGCAATTCTGACCTTTGTTCTTTTTGAGTATCATGCTAAAAAGTTGTCATAACTATTTCTGGGCTGTTTCTGTGAATATTCTTTCCAGAATCCCAGAAAGTTGATTCTGGACGTTGTCTGTGAAGGGGTGCCAAGGTAACGTCGTCCAGAGAAGGCATTTGGTTAAGATTTTGGGTGCCAAGTACAATAACGTCCATGTTATCTGGATTTAAAAGCAGGAAATTCGAGGTCACCCATGTCTTTATGACCATTCTTCAGTTTAACTGATGTGTATTATCTAGCCTAATGGATAGATAAAGCTAGGTATCATCTTAATACTAGTGAAGATATATGCTATGCCTTCTAATGATACTGTTGTGGGGAGACTTGAAGCTTACAGTGTCTTGGTGCATGCTTAGTCATCCAGGTAAGTAAGTCTCAAAAGGTTGATTCTGTTCATCTGGACGTTTTCAGTGGGAGAAACATTTTGTCACTTATCTAAGTGACTTCTTCAGGCTCAGCTGACTGCAGGTTTCCCCAACCTTTGCTAAACCAGACAAAGTGACAAAATGTTCCTGAGAAAATTTTGTCTTTGCTCAGTGACAAAAATACTTATGAGCCCCTAAAGGGGGACCTAGGAAGTGGTTACAGGAAGAGGGTGTCTGAAGCAATTAGAACAAGACAAGGCTATTGACCGGACCTCATACAGCAGGCTGTACCCAGGGGAAGCTACACTAAGTCTGTACAGTTTACCGAAGATACATAAACAGGGTGCACCTTTAAGACCGACTGTCTGTATGATCAACTCTGTCACCTATAACATCTTAAAGTTTCTGGCTTTGATCCTCAATTCGTCCCTGTGGCTTTTAAACCCCAAAACACGCTGCACCAAAAACCGGTCCACCCCAAGAATCGGGTCCCCCGACACAAACAGAGTAACATAGTAACATAGTAACATAGTAACATAACATGCTGTTAAGTGCCAGGACAATGATTTATACATCGGGGAAACCAAACAACCTCTGGCGAAGAGGATGGCAGAACACAGAAGAGCCACCTCGTCAGGCCAGGACTCTGCAGTCTATTCACACTACAGGCCAGTGGACACTCTTTCAATGATGAGGATGTAACATCCTGGACAGGAAGCAACGCTGGTTTGAGTCAAGGAGGCCATTTACGTGAAAAGGGAAAGACCATCTCTGAATCGAGGAGGGGGCCTAAGGGTACATCTGTCACCATCTTACAATGCTGTGATTGCAGCCATTCCCCAACTCTCTGTGAATGGGACTCATGATTATTAATCAATGGTCATGAGTCACCTCACAGCCCATTGTTCATTCAACAAGCTGGTTTCAGTCATTGTACAAATGTGCTGTTTATAAGATTAGAAAACTGCAGTATAGCTGCCAGAGTGACCCGTCAAAGGAACTTGTATAAAGGGGAGACAGTTTTCAGCAGTCCATGTCTTATCCAGGTGTTTGTGCGTATGTTTTCAGTTATGTGATGATGATGCCATTCAAGCGTCAGGCCTTGGTGGAATTCTCTGCAGTGGAGAGTGCAGACCGCTGTGTGTCCTGTGGAGCCAAGGAGCCAGTATACATCGCAGGTCTTTGCTTCCATTCCTTTTTACTTGGTAACATATACTCAAATGTAGCATACTGTTTGTGTTTATATTTTTCATTTTGTCATCAGGTCAACAAGCATACTTTAATTATTCCACATCCAAAAGAATCACCAGGCCTACAAATGCTGACAACCCCAACAGTGGGAACAAAGTGCTTCTGCTGTCCATACAGAACCCACTCTACCCTATAACAACGGTAAACACACATACAGATCCAGAGGGACATCTCAGCTCTCTTTTCTTAAGTGTACCTTCTTCTTCGAACAATAACTCATAGTCTTTATGATCTGCTGATGGATGTGGTTTATATCTTGCGTGTTTTTTAATCATTTATAACTCATAATTAAGTCGTACCGTCTGTCTTCTTTAAATGGAGGGGCAATCTGAGCAGAACTTTGCACAAACATCAACTCTTTTGATTTTTGTATTCATCATCCCTGCAAGTGTGGTGTTACGATCTCCATTTGCATACCGGTATATTTTTTAAATTTATGTTCAACATATGTCGCCTGTGCCTAACTTAACCATCACCAAAACTTTACACCAGAATGTGTTTGTGTAATTCCTATGGAAGCCCGTTTCCACCACTAAATAAAAACAAAAAAGCTAGTATCCATAACTCGAAATTTCGAGTTATTTTCTCGAAATTTCAACTTATTAACTCGAAATTTTGAGAAATATAACTCAAAATTTACTTTTCTCAAAATTTCAAGTTAGCTCTACCAATCAAAAATATACATGAATGAGGTCGCTTTCTTGTTACCCGGAAGCATATGCTCCCCTCGGGCAGGAGGCTCCGGCCCATTCGCACCAGAACCTCTCGCCATAAGAACAGTTTCTTCCCCTCTGCTGTTGGACACACGAACAATAACCGTATGACTGTTCCCACCACTAACACATGACCCTACGCTGTGTTCACTGCATCATTCCATGTTTGGCACTGATCACCACCTGCACTCATGTATATACTGTATCTATCTACGTAGCACTTTTAATTCTTATTCTTATTTTTATTTTCATGTCTATTTAAGCGTAATTTATGACACTATGTTTGCACTGAAGCACCGCAGCAATTTCCTAATGTTGTAAACCTGCTCAACATTTGGCAATAAAACCCTTTCTGATTCTGATTCTGAGAGGAACGCGCACTCAAAAACAGATCCCAACAAATTTGCTCTCTTTCGCGAGTACGTTTGCTGATAGTAACACCATGTGATTCAGCTAATAACACGGGGATTTCATCATTTGTGAAGCCAGGCTGAAAACACTCAGCAATCTGTGCATTCACGACTGGATGTAATACCGGTAGCTTAGCTGTAGCATTTGTAGCTGAGGGCTTCAGCTTCCGGGTAACGAGGAAAGGACGTCATTCACGTAGATTACTGATTGGCAGCGCTAACTTGAAATTTCGAGTTGCTTTTCTCAAAATTTTGAGTTAATAAATCGAAATTTCGAGTTAATATGTCGAAATTTTGAGAAAATAACTCGAAATTTTGAGAAAATAACTCGAAATTTTGAGTTATGGATCCTTTTTTTTTTTTTTGTGGCGGAAATGGGCTTCCATAAATTTCTGCTACATCAGGTGTCTCAGTTATATTTGTCATGATTGCCATTGTGATTTGGCTATAAAGAAATATATACATAAAAGTGAATGGAGTTAAAAATACAAAACCATCACTGTTCCAGTTACATGTCTTAACCTTCATACATGAAGGTCTCACCATTAGAAACTCATAGATTAACGCTAATGCTGCATTTTGTCTTTTTGTGTGTGTGTGTGTCCAAATTGATGCAGGATGTTCTGTACACTGTATGTAACCCCATTGGCAGTGTGCTGAGGATCGTCATCTTTAAACGAAATGGAATCCAAGCCATGGTGGAGTATCCTTACTGAGTGGGTGAATCTGTGTGTTCCTCACACTCTGCATCATAACAGTTTACCACACGTAGCTATCTTCAGTGTGTCACCGAGTGTTTTCATGGGGCGTGTCCAAATACATGGGCTGCATCCTTCCGGTGCCGCATTTGTAGGCCGATTACGTCACAGTGACGGGATACAGGTGTATCCTTCGTGGCCCAACCTATCCCAGAATTCAAAGCCAATTTCGGTTTACAACAATGGCGGCAGCTACTTAGTCAGGGCTCTAGAGTGCGACCAATTTGGTCGCAAATGCGACCAAATTTTTCAGTGGTGCGACTAAAAAAAGATATTTGGTTGCACCTGTGCGACCAAATGTTCGGGTAGCAAAAAAAAAAAACTGCAACCTTCCCTGTGGTCAACAACAGACACACATTTTGCCCCTATCGTGGACTAAACCAATCAGAGATAGTAAGGGGCGGGACCTCTCTGATTGGCCGTGGTCCAGTTGAAAGTGCAGGTGGAAGTGGGAGGTGAGTAGCTTGAATAAAGCGATATCAATTCATTAAATCCTGACTTTTAAATATAACTGTGTTTTTGCCAGAAATGCCAGATTCTCAGATTAAAGCTCACAAAACCATTTCAACAACAACCAAACAGCAAATGAGAGCAGGTACACGGACTCCACACAAAGACGTAAACACAGACCCGACGCATCAGAATCAGCTTTGTCTTTCTAGGCTTTCTCACCCGACGGCCCGTAGACGGACACGCTGTCGGAGCTTAGCGGTTCTGATGCGTCCGGTCCGCGCTGTGTTTACGTCCTTTTGCGCTGATTCTGAGCTGCAGGTTTTGTCTCTCCAACCAAAATTCACCGAGCTGAATTTTGCTGTTTTGCTTCCACGACTATTAAAATCACATCCATGCACATCTAGCTCTCTCTCTCTCTCTCTGTACTTCAAGAACAGTTTCCCGTCTCCAATCTCTGTTTTCTGTATTATTCATTGGCTTATTACCCACCAGTCTACTGTTGTTCACAGCGCTGTGGCTGCTGTCTTTTTCTTTTCTTTTTTTCACTTAAATGACCTCGGACAAGAAAGCCTATTTTTTCTGTTGTTCAATACTGAAGAAATTTAAACTTTATATGCAGAACATTGTAGAATATTTTTAAGGTTATCTGCTATAAAAAGCCAGACCAGGAAAATCTCCTTCATGTTTTTCTGTGTTTTATTCTCAGTTACTTTCACACAAAGGCATCTGCTGTGATGTTCACAATTCTGATGAAGTCAGTACTGATAAATGATCAGAATTATAATATTTCTGACTGTCTGAGGCTAAGTTGAATCGAATCGGGACTTTGAAAACTGGAATCGAATGGATTGTAGAAATCAGTGATGATACCCAGCCCTATGAGCAGCCTAGGCACGACAGACGTGGATGTAGCTGTAATAGGAAAAGAACTATTGCTAACTTTTCTGTTAAGGCCTGATGCTTCTGAAATTAATAGCCAGTGCTCTGACACGGTGTCATCAATCTTTGAATGCTGAGAAAGCACAGTGTATCCAGAAAAACACATTATATTAATTATTATAAAATCTGTGTGCGCCTAACTTTTGTGGTGGTACGCCTAACTTTTTAAAGTTAGGCGTACCGGTACGCCCATGACAAAAAGTTAGTCTAGAGCCCTGTTAGTTTTAATATTACTCTTATTACTGTTTCTGGGACACAAAACAAACTTTTAAGATATTTTCAGAATGTAGCTGCGTAAACTTCAAATATCTGCTCGGTTTATCAAGACATCACATATTTGTAAAAGCGTTCCGACGTTTTCCGAGACGTCTGTTACCCACCAGCTCGATAGCTAGCCCGGGGTTCAAGCCTCACTAGAGCCGGCGAGAACAGCGGACTCCCAGCACATCGTTTTCAAAACACCCGCCGTCTTTCACTACTCAGGTTAAACATGACATATGAGTCACTTAGATAATTTCAAAATGTTATTGTTTGGCTTTTTTCAGTCTTTTATTTGTTCCTGAGTAAATCGGTTTGGCTGAGATTAAAGTTCTAGTTTTTACACAGCTGAATAAACGTCAAACAGAAAACTAATTAAACAGTAGTGTGAGACGGTCGAGAGTTTACTCCAGTGTCCTGTTATATTTTAGACAGCAAGGAGCAGACGGCCGAGTTCATTAAACGCCCCTGAGACAGCGGTGACGCAGATCTGAAGGCTTCACCGTCCAATTTCACAGCTGCTCGCTTCCGGCCTACCCGGCCTTCGGAGGACCTGGCGCACCTAGACCGCGAAGGCCATGTCCTCAGGAGGATGCAGCCTATGAATTTGGACACGGCAATGTTTTTTGTGAAAGCCCTAAGATCCTGCCCAAATTCACGTTTGGTGTTTAAACTATAAAAATAGGCATTTCTGACCACATCCAAAATCTGCAGTTTTTCACAATCTGTGGGTCCTCTTTGAACATAACTCTCGTGAATTTCAAGGGTTGACTGTATCCTTGACACTCATCCAGAGAGATATGTTTTCATGCATTATTTGACATGAATCATTTAGTGCTTTTCTTCCATCATCCATCCTTTCTTTTCCACTCTTCCTTATCAGGGTCGGTGGGGGGGCTGGAGCCTATCCCAGCTACCACAGGGCAAGAGGCAGGGTACACCTGCACAGGTCGCCAGTCTGATGCAGGGCTACATTCTTTCTTGTCATTCATAACCCTCATGCTTAAGGATCCTAAAACAGAGAGTTTTGGAAACACTGCTGAGGGGGGTTTATGTTAACGGCTGTGGGAGTGCGTGTCAGCCTGCAGTGGCAGAAGACAAGACTCTTAGACACGACACAGAAACCCATGTTCATATTCTGTTGGCCACTAAATGTAAATTGGATTGTGTCTTATGTCACAGTAGGGGTAGGTTAGTGGGTGGTTCTTAATCGCCCATACAAGTGTCTGTCTCTTTCTATTTGCACTGTAACAGACTGGGACCAGTCAAGTTTGTATCCTGCCTTTTGTCCTACAGTAACTGGTCTGATTCTTTTCTACTCAGAGTCCTCAAAGAACTTAATACAGCGTGCCACATTCACAAGCACTTTCTGCTGTGATTTTAAGTGCTCACTAACTAACATTCACACACAGATGGATGCATCAGAGAGCAACTTAGGGTTGGCTAATGGTATCTGGCATGCAGACTAGGGTGAACCAGGGAGCGAACCACCAACCTTCCAATCAGTAGATGACCTGCTCCACCCCCACCCAAGCTTACAGCACCTGTTATTCCCAGGTGGTCTCCCATCCAAGTAATAACCAGCCCCAACCCTGCTTAGCTTCCCAGATCAGACGAGAGCAGGCGTGCTCAGAGTCCTTAAGTATACCAGGCTGGGCTGGACGGTAATCTGGCATACTGGACATTGGACCAGTGGGGTGACACACTTTTGGTCAGATGTGTAAATTAAAGGGATGGTGCACACCGGCCCTACATGCTACAGCAGCCCATTCTTTCATTTCCATTACTGGCACTGTGTTTCCCACTCAAATCTCTTAACAGTACCTACCTTTGCTGTGCACTCACACAACTTGTAGAACGGAGTGTATTTTGAAAAAGGTGGAGCTGAAAAGCCAGAAAAAGAGAAAGAAACAACAAATAAATGCAGCAAAATGTGTCTAATTAACCGGCAGGTTAGCTGTCTGGTCTGCTGGTGCTGCATGGTCAACAGTCAAACCAGCAACTAGTAACAAGCCCTCACATTCACAAAAGGCTGCTGTTGCTAGCACCAGCCATGGAGAAGTGCAGGATTAACCACAGTCCCAACAAGAGTGAGGAAGATGCAGAGCAAGGAATAATGTATGTATTTTACCCATGCTTCTATGTGGTTTCATTGCCATTATTGAATGTAGCTATGGATAAGTATCTGCAAATGTATGTCATTTATATATCTCTGTGTTTGAACGTCCTCTCCTTAACCAAGCTTCTGCAGATTTGAGTCAGTTCAGTGTGCTCAGAAGGCGAAAGCAGCTCTGAATGGAGCTGACATCTATGCAGGTTGCTGTACACTAAAGATTGAATATGCAAGGGTAAGAGAAACATCAGCAGCATCCACAGTGTTTTTGTGCTATGTAGACAGCACTGATTTACCCTGACTGCAAGGTTTCCTGCGGCAAACGATACTCAGAATGTGTTAAATCTACTTTCTACCAACCTGAGTTAGTTTTATATACAAATAAATCAAGTGTACTGAACCTGTTTGGGTTCTCAGTATAACCAGTAATAGATCCTTACCCACACCAGAACTAAATCTCAAATGTTACTCTTAAATTTTGCACATTTCAAAATACATTTTAGAATTTAAATGAATAAATTAAATTGGTTAATTTCTTTTTGTGCACTTTATGCTTTGTGTCATGAAATGACTGTACAGGTATACAAATGTGTGACAAACTCATAAACTGTTGATGCACTGCAGTGTTTGGAGTTTTCTTCAGTGGCTTCTGAGACTCTCCATGGTATCACAGATCCATCCAGCTAGATCGTGAATCTTTTTTCATCTTTCTTTTCAACAGCCAACACGTCTGAATGTTATTAAGAATGACAACGAGAGCTGGGACTACACAAAACCATACCTGGTCAGACGAGGTAGGTCAAAGTCTCCCTTTTAACTTCAGCCGTACGGTCAGACTCAGACAGGTTGACTGTTTGAGGTGCTCCTGTCTTTTTGCAATACTTGAGCTGCTGTAATGTTGAAGGTAGGACTGTTTTCAGCATGAATTCTCTGTGGGGACATATTCACCTTCACTACAGCTCTTTTAGGAAACCTTTTAGTGATTTGTGAATCCGTGGCCAAATCTTCAGTTGTTATTTGCCTGTTTCTGACTGTGGATTCAGTGTAGTCCTGAAAATTGTCCCGGAACATAGTTCTCCATCACACCGAGACTCCTACGCCTCCTGCCTCTACATCTCCAATCAAAACACTCTCATATCAGCCAATTTCCGACCTCTGACAATCTTGCACCTCTGCCTACTGTGGGGAAAGAGAGAGAGACACATTGAGGGACAGTGAGAGAGCAGAGAACGTCAGGCTGGCCATGCACAGCAACTTTCTTCCATCTACACCTTTGCAACCCAGCAAAGAGAGAAAGAGAGGGAGAAAAAGAGATGGATCTCACTCCTGCTGACCACCATGCAGCTGCTGCTTCAACATGCCCAGGAGCCACCTTCCCTGCCACTCGCTGCAGGATAGCACTGCCTCCTTTCCACCTATTTTACCCTGTGTTCTTAATCTCCTTTTGTCTGCAGAAGTAGTCTCACATAGCCTGACACCTGGTCTGCACAACGTCTTTTGTTCTCCAGAGCCTCGACATGTTAGATTTAACTTTCAGTGTTGCTTTTTTATAGCAATCTTGCATGTTTTTTTACCAAACATCAACATAACAAGTGAAATCAAATCCTTGTTTCCTCTTCAAAATCTGATGAAAACACCTTATTGGGTAATAAGTTGAGTTTCTGGCTATGTGATTCTACATTATGAGTATCAAAACTCTGCTCTCTGTTGCTTTATTTTGTCTGAATTGGAGCTGTCACAATATCAGATTTTTAATGACACCTTACTGCAAAAATGGTATCCAAAAACGATAAACTAAGAACTATCTTTACAATGTTGCTTATAATTAAGATAGAACACTAAATTGAGAATTTCATTGGCTGTTACAGGTCTGAAAAACGGAGAGAAGCAGATACAGTAGCTATTCAGATGACAGCTAAATATTCTGGTAGATAGGCATGTGAATAAATAAAGACTGTGAGTAGGCGTGTCAGCTTCCTTCACATGTGTATCTGGGTTCAAGTGTCTAAATTTGCCATGTAGTTAAAAAAGCAGTGTTGGTGTTATTGCAGATCCTCAAATATGAAACGTTAAATAGCAAATCTCAAATGAGACTGAAAGACTCTAAATCAGTATTAATGTGAACAGCAAGTTATGTAACTCGAGAACTACCAAAGGATTTAGGTTAGTTAGCATGAACATGCTCTTACCAAAGACAGCCTCTAGTGTGTCTGAGACAGAGTTAGCTGTTGACCGCCAAGCCTTTGAATTCTTGGTGGAAAGAATCAAACAGGTGAAAAAGTGCTGACTCACCGTCAACCACACGGCCTGGTTCTGCTATCAGCCAACCAGCAAAGGTACACGAATCTGCAAACTCTAAGAAATACTAACTGTGAAAGCCAGTATATTGTGACAGCCTTAATCAGGAGCTCTACATTTAGCCATCTAAATCTCCTTGATTTGTATATTTTGATAGAAAGATTCATTACTATGTATCAGTGACTTGTTTAAAGCCAAAAGTTGTTACGTTGTATTACTGCATGAGTGTGTTGTGTGATCGCAGTCCTGTGTGGTCCATTATCTGAAACTGTGTGATGAGACTGATGTTGGAGTCAGTTCATCCTGAATTCACTCAATTCAAAAAAAACTGTTGTTTTTTTTTCAGACAGCACTGATTAAAAATTGCCCGACATCTGAAAGCGGTAAGCTCACAGCCCCTGGCTTCAGTCTATGGCAACATTAACAGCTGCTGCCCAGAGTATCAGCTTCACCGTGAAATGTTCTTTTGATATCCACAGAGCATTATTTATTATTTGTTACAGTCTCTGTGAGACTCTGACATTCCCCGAAGTGCCATTAACGACCACTAAATATTTTAGTTTTGGCTGCCTAATATAACCTTAAACAGCCTTGTTTTAAAATGATTCATTAAACGATTGTTTTTGTGATGAACTGGTCCCAACTCTGTTTAGTTGAAATAGTCACTAAATACATTTTATCTGCTGTGTTATATGATTTCATGGGGGTGCACTGCATTGACACAGACTGGGGCAAGTCACCAGTGAGGCTGGGGTGTGTTGGGGTCTCTGGTGGAGTATGAAAATGTATTTCTTTATGTATTTAGCTTCCACAATAGTGGTTGCTGGTACCTTTACTGCTCAGTTTTAGTTTGCTTTATATTCCCTCTGTACTAGTTGCTCTTTTCTTGTGCTGCTTTAATCATTTCCACCATCCAGCACCTACATGAATGAATTTGTGTTCCTTTGATAGAAGTTATATATTTGGAGATAAAGTATCTGAACTTCAGGGACCACGCCTCCAAACACGCTCCTTCTGGTTCTCATCTATATGTGTTCCCCCAGTTCTACAAGCTGTTCGTTCTCGTTTACATGCCCCTCCCTCCCCTTTTCAATTCTTTAACTTCTTAACTTCTATTTAGTACATGATGAGCCGCCAGTCTCCTCTGAGGCCTTCCCCAAACCACAGCTCAATACATGGCCAACCATTCACCATTATCTACTAAAACGCTGTCAAACCTCAAATGAGGACGTGGGCCCAGCTAGTGAACTGTATTTTTATACATACACTTGTGCACGTGTGTTTGAGGGGGACTGTATTTAAACATGGCTGCTACAGTAAACCATCACTGGGGAGACTGCTTTGGACCTTCTCTAAATGAGGCACTTTGGGGAAGATTCACATAAATATGAAGTATTATCTTGGCATGAAATACATTTTTAGATGATCAAACAAATCATATTTTAAAATGTTTTATCTCTTATTTTTATCTTTATAGCCTTACAGCTTTTACCAGAATGTCCAGCCCTGGGCCCAAACCTAGATTTGTTTTTGGCTGTAATATGTTGTGTCAGCTAAAACAGGTTAGAATACCAGAATACCAGAAGACTGATGCAGTTCTGCACATTACTGGCAGCAGCCAGGTGGTGTGAACGGCCTCTAAAACTGGGTAAAGCCACAGAGCCGTTTGGGTCCCTCCCACACCACAGAAGAAGACCAGTCACGCTATCACAGTGACTGTGCACCCCTTTGTTAGTTCCTTGTGCTAGTGAAAAAAATGCAGCAGTGTTTCAAGCTACAGTGTTCTGAGGAGCACCAGCAGCACATCAAGGAACCCAGAATATCGGTTGTCTGAAACTCTGTTCAAGTAAAAGATCCCCTGTTTGGTTCGAGAAGGAGAGGTTACGTCAGGAAGAGCAGCCACTGAAAACTCAAATCAAACATGCAAAGTTGCCCTCTGTGATAAGGGAGCAGCTGGAAGTAGCACAGAGTTCTTTTTCCCTGTACTGCTGATAAAATAAACATGCTCATCAGCCACAGGTTCTGTTGCTTTTGACTAACAGAGCCATTCATGGATATGGTTAAACTACCCAAACAAGGTCGCCCTGGCTGCATAGGGGGAAGTGGTTGATGTTGTCAAAGGGTACATTACCAGAGGAGAGCATATAGCTATGGGCTCATAGACTGACCTACATATTACTTGTACCTTTTACTGTAGTAGCTGCGTTTAGCATGAGGTTATTAACCTTATGGAAATGGAAGCAGACTGATACTGACGTGATACTTTTCTACTTTAAATTCAGTTCAGTTCAGTTCAATTTCTTTATTGTCCCACAAGGGGAAATTAGTTTGGCAGAAGGATAAAAATAAACAGAACAATAATATAAAATAATAATGACAATAATAGTGAGATAAAATGATCATCACTTTAGACAGCAAGTCACGTTTAACCATACATTCATACAGTGAGCTCTATCTACTTTCATCCACAGACAGCTGAGTGCATCTTCGAACGCCATTCGTCTCTGACTTTCTCTGCTTCTCTGTGCCAATGTGCATTTCCATCAACCTGCCCCTTTTCTTCTACCCTGTCATACTCTGCTGCTTTCACTCCTCCATGTTTTGCACGTTCATCATTTTGTTCCTGCAGAGTTTTTGGGTGAATAGAAATGTCAGTCCCCGACGTGTTCCTGTGAAAGCACGCTTCTGTGGGTTGGGTATTGATAGCTGTTGGAATACAGACTGCATCAATAGTATGTCCGTTGTCCCACTTGAGAAGATGGGGTGCTAGAGCTGCTCTATGCCCTGCACTGGAAGGTCTGACCATAGTGTAGTCCTCTCGTTAAACAACAACCTGTAGCAACCACAGTTGTTGCAAAGGTAGGCAAATGCGGCTATGTACACTTTGCATGTTTGATTTGTGTCTGCAAACTGCACTTAATGAACCACACACCTAAGCTTAATGACTGTTGACCACTTGTCCTCACATCCTGTGTAATTAATGCGCTGGAGAGACCATTCTTGGCTCACCTGGGACCACAGGTGAAAACGTCTCTTGACGTTCTTCGTTTTGTATTCAGACCAAATCTGGGAGTGCATGATACAATTATTAACAGCTTCACTCCCATGTAGATGGTATCTGATGCATGTTGAGAATCCCCTTCTGTGGGTTCTGAAGTCCGTTCATCCAATAACTGCTGCTACTATTAATCTATCATAAAGAGGACATGATGTCAAAGGGGTTTGCTTTGATTCGCTTTTGTGAGATCACACGATTGTAAAAATATACTGTCCATGAAAGAAATTGGATCATAGCACAGTGATTAGCATCCAGTGGATCCTCTATCTTGGGAGGAGGTGCAACTCCGTTGGAGAGCTGCATCACAATTCAATCACAGACAGAAATTTGGGTGAATCTTATGTTACATATGGGTGATGTGCATATAATGTAAGCTGAACATTTAACAAACGCAAACAGAGACCAAAACATCAGCAGGTGTAGGTGACGGATATTTAAACATACATAAGCTGCAATCAATACAGTCAGATGTACTGGTTTGTTTTGGCTCGTCAACTACAGATCCTCTCACAACATCTTAGCCTGTTGTCAGACAACCCAAAATCATGCAGTCAGGGTCACCCTCAGCAAAGACGCACACTGAGCTTATCATTATCATCATAGCAGATACTTTAATACACAAGCAGGCTCAGAGTGCAAAACAAAATGATCTAAATCTGCTAAGCTTAGCAGGGGAAAGCAAAAAGAGTATTTTACTGTTAAATTCTTGCCAGAATACAAAAATAGTTAGTGAATTATTTATATGATAAATTTAACACCACCTGGGAGCTGAGAATTTATTCTTTAAATCAAAGGAAAGTTGCATTGAAGCGTGTTGTATGTTACTTTAATGACCTGATAGGTCACACAGTACTGTGAACCCTTTGATTTCACTGCAGTGCATATTTCTACAGTGTAATGAAAAACTGTTTGTCACCTACTTGACTTCACTGAAATGTTTCAGATTGTCAAGCAAATTTTAGCCGTTGACAAAAACACAGTAGATATAAAACGATGATTTCATTTATTCATGGAAAACAGACAAACACATAAATACACAAATCCAACCTCATGTGGAAAGTAAACGTAAAACTGGTTGTGTCATCCCAGTTTGATTCACTGAAATGGAGTCCAGTTTGTCTCCACTATCCTGAGCAGAGATGGGTTACGCGTTACTGTAATCCGATTACTTTTTCAAGTAACGAGTAAAGTAAGGGATTACTGCAAAAACGGTAATTAGATTACCGTTACTTTCCCGTAGGAACGCTGCGTTACTGCGTTACTAAAACCATGATTTATTTTGCGAGAATGTCTCATGACAGTGACGTAAGCGAGTGCGACGTTGGTGACAACAGCTTTAAAGCGTGGAAGTACTGACCTTACTTTGAGTTTGATTCCATAAAAAGTGACAAAAACATTAGTGTCCGCTGTGCGTGGGAAGAAAACTTCTTTTTACAGCGAAAAAACCCCTAAACTTCAGAGCAAGCACCGAGTAGCTACGACGTAATGGGAAACTCACAGAGAAACTCGCGGATTCTTCCACTGACCGCTGCACACCTGCACCAGGGTAACCCTCCGCCTACCCCACTCCTGCTTTACAGGTGAAAATAGAGCAACAGGACCGCTGAGTCTTTGACTTTATTTATTTTCTGCTGTGTTTTACTTGCATCTATTTGAAAGACTGAGTGTAAACACAAAAAATATTTTATTTTATGTGCTGGAATGTGCAGAAAATAGGTTTAAATGTTAAACTAATTTATTCCAGTCAGAGAATGTTGCAGATAATTAAATGTTTGCTTGATGCATAAAGTTAAAAGATTAAAACTAATAAAACAAGTTTTAAAAAGAGACTTTTCCATTTGATTACATTTTGTATGATGGATTATGTAGAAAAAGTAGAATTGGGCTGAAAGAGCTATCACTTTATCACCTCTTCAGGTTGTAAATCGTGTTTTTAAAAAGTAACTAAGTAACTAAGTAATTAATTACTTTTGAAAATAAGTAATCAGTAAAGTAACTGGATTACTTTTTTGGGGAAGTAATTAGTAATTAGTTACTGATTACTTTTTTCGAGTAACTTGACCAACACTGATCCTGAGTGGGTGCATATTTCAGCCATGTGACACAGTGATTGATCCACAGCACTGCAGACAGACGTGTTGTGGATAAGACGCTATCCTGGCAGTACGTATGGGACCGATCGTCAGAAAGTCTGTGTCATGTCAGTGTGCCTCCAACATGTGTGTAGCATATACAGTATGTAATGCTTTGATGGATGAGAGTTTTGATAATGGTCATGTTTTTATCATTGTGATGATAATGTAATGCAGGTTGATGTTCTTTTGTGCTGAGGGAGAAAAAAGAGAAAGCTTGATGCCTCACAGGTACTGTCTCTTTCTTATCTCTGTTCACATGTGTTTGTATTGTTTTTCCTGCTCTTCTCTGAATAAAACCACCACAAAACTGTTTTTCTTATTTTTTCACCTCCATTACCACCATAAGTAGTTTTGTTGTTATTTTTTGGGAGCAGCTGGGATTAAATAAATAGAAATAAATGTGTACAAACACACACAAAAAACTACTGTAGAAAATCAGCAGCTGCTCTTCATTTCACTTTGAAACCTCACATTTCTGATCTTTTTCATTTGAAATTCTGATCTCTGCATGGCAGATGGCATCGATAAAATCTTCTTTTTCTTGAGTTGTCATGTGCATAGCATGACCGTTTTAATTTGGCCAACTCAACTCAACCGGAAACACAATGAAGGCATATAAAGGACATTAATAACCTTCACATGTAGTCTGCCGCTGAGCATGCTTGTTGTGCTCGTGTGGATTTACAGCTGTTAAAACTGAGAGTTTATCTGATGTATTAAAAACTGACCATGTTAAGCAGCAGCATTCTTAGTTGTCTGTGTTATTCCCAGTCCAAGAAAATGTCACAATGATATTTATTATAATACTGTAATATAATGTAATATTTAGGAAAGCCAGGGCAATATTTCAGTGAATCTGTGTGGCAGAGATTTGTACCAAAGAAGTGGCATGTTAGTGTCTCAGATCTCAGCTATTAGCAGCATCTGCCATGGCTCTGCAGGACTGTGTCGTTCTCTTTCATGGGCACAGTATCAGATAGAAGCTACCCCTCAGTTCCAAATGAATCCCACAATAAACATAGATGGAGGAAACAGATTTCCTCTGTGATGTTTCTGCAGGAATATGAACACTGGAAGAAACGGAGGCCTTTTTGTCAAACTGTAAATCCTGCTTTAAAAGAGCGTTCAGCTGAACTGTTTCATGAATGCTCCAGATGTGAGTCGTGATTGATCAAACTCAAAATTGCAACATTGCATCATTTTAAATGTAGCACTGTTAATAACTGGCTCTGATTTTTAAAGATATAGTCAAGAATCCAAAACACTGTCTCCTCCCTGTAGACGCTCCGCGAGGCCTTTGAAGCAGCCAACTTCAGCTGCTTCTTCTTTGTTGGTCTCTTTTCCTTCAGTAACTGAAAAGCATGCTCTGTCGGGTGGAGATCAGGTCTTGACCACTGAAAGGTTTCCCACCTCTTTGCTTTGAGACACTCTTGGGTTTCTTTGGCAGGATCCATTTGTACTGTGAAGCGCTGTGTAGATCCATTTGACTGAACCTGAGCAGAGAATCTAGCACCATACAATTCAGACTTTTACCAGCAGAGACATCATCAATAAACGCCGGCGACCCTGTTCCACGGGCAGTCATTCATTGCTGCCTTCCACCATGTCTGATAGATGTTGTGGTACACTTTCCATTTCTTTTGAATTCTTTACTATTTTCATCATTCTGGTGCATTTATTTGGGTTTCAGCTGAAACTCTTTTAGATGGTTTCCACCTTGTTGTTAACCTCCTGTATTTCCGTTTTTAGGATTAACTTGCTTGTTTGGAGCTGGGAACTGAACTGTCAGCCTTCTGATTAGTGGAGGACACTTTCTCTTGTCTTCTGGTTGTGTTTTTTTTACTTTGTGACTGTCTGTCAAACAGTATAATGAAGTAGAGTATTATTTATTTGTCACACATTAAGACTTAATCATCAAGTTAATCGCTGAGATCTGGGAGCACATAAGCACTGCCAAACATAGGCTCAGTCAGACAGTCAGACCCAGCCCGTTCAAGCATTCGGCCTTAATGGACCATTTGATTGGTACTAACAGATCTCTAACGAGGCAGTGAATGAATGAAACACTTTCCAAGTGTTCTTTAATGTCATTTAAATCAGTATATGTGAAATCTTCTCGCATTCACATAATTGGTTTGTGTTATCTGTATTTGTATGTATTTCAGACCGTGGAAAGGGAAGACAGAGACAGGCCATTTTAGGCGAACACCCATCTTCCTACAGTGATAATGGTTATGGTAAGTAAGGATTTTTCACAAGCATGAAGACACAATGCACAGTACAAAGACAGGAATAATCACAATTAAATAGAAAATAAAAACTCATTTGATGGCAAAAAAAGACACTCGGTTAACTCTTTGCCTTCTTTCTCTCGTAGTTGATGTTTTGTCTTTCCGTCATCTGCCAGGTGTCTGACCTGGTTCTGCTGAAGACAGCTTTTTGTGTTTACAATGACTTCTTCCTTTCGACTGTTGTGAAGGCAAAGCACATGGCAACAGTGACCTGGTTTCTCTCTTTGATGCTTCGAAATCTACCTGTTTTGAACTCCCACTATGTCGATACATCCACGGGGCTAAAAAAGTTGGAACACTGAGTAAAATGTAAAAAAAAACCCCAAAAGAAACCCCAGAATGTGATGATTTACAAATCCCGTAAAGCCATAATATATTCTTATATACATATATAAAGTTAGAAATATCCTGTCTCAGAGTGACGCTGAAAAACTTGTTCATGCATTTATTACTTCCAGGCTGGACGACTGTAATTCATTATTGTCAGGATGTCCTAAAAACTCCCTGAAAAGCCTTCAGCTGATCCAAAATGCTGCAGCAAGAGTCCTGACAGGGACTAGAAAGAGAGAGCAGATTTCTCCTGTTTTGGCTTCCTGTTAAATCCAGAATTCAAAATCCTGCTCCTCACATACAAGGTCTTAAATAATCAGGCACAAAACCTGGAGCTAAGGGGGCAAAACGATCGCATGAGTGCTGCTGTTTGACTGAGGAAGAATAAAGTAGTGGTGGTAAGCCAATAACATGACCACTTAAAGACAAAGCAACAAGGTGACATATACCAGTTTATAAATTGTGTTGATAGGCCTCGTAAAACCAGAGTCATGATAAACAATATATACGCGTGTTTGTTCCTCAATAGTTTCGTCACGTTTATCAAATCAAATCAAATCACTTTTATTGTCACATCACATGTGCAGGTACATTGGTACAGCACATGTGAGTGAAATTCTTGTGTGCGAGCTTCACAAGCAACAGAGTTGTGCAAAATACAATAATGTAAACAAGCAAAATACAAGAATGGCTACATCTGAAACTAATAAATATATGTACAATATATAATAGTATATGCATTTCTGGATGTGTATACTAAATATTTTTCTACGTGTGTGTGTGTTTGTGTACACATATTTTACAAATTAAATAGAGTAAACAATAAATAAAATATATAAAAATATTGTTTACGGTCTAAGGACAGCGCAGCAACACTCTGCTTATGAGCAAAAACAACCCCAGAGGGTTAAACATTTTTTTAAAGTAACGCAATAGTTACTTTTCAAGTAATTAATTACTTTTAGAATCTTGTAACTCAGTTTCTAACTTAGTTACTTTTGTGGAGAAGTAACTAGTAACTATAATTAATTACTTTTTCAAGGTAACTCGCCCAACACTGTGTAAAAGTACAGGGTGGTCCATTTATATGGATACACCGTAATAAAATGGGAATGGTTGGTGATACTAAAGTCCTGTTTGTGGCACATTAGTATATGTGAGGGGGCAAACTCCTCAAGATGGGTGGTGACCATGGTGGCCATTTAGAAGTCGGCCATCTTGGATACAACTTTTGTTTTTTCAATAGGAAGAGGGCCATGTGACATATCAAACTTATTGGTAATGTCACAAGAAAAACAATGGTGGGCTTGGTTTCAACGTAACTTTATTCTTTCATGAGTTATTTACAAGTTTCTGACCACTTATAAAATGTGTTCAATGTGCTGCCCATTGTGTTGGATTGTCAATGCGACCCTCTTCTCCCACTCTTTACACACTGATAGCAACACCGCGGGAGAAATGCCAGCACAGGCATCCAGTATCCGTAGTTTCAGGTGCTGCACATCTCGTATCTTCACACCATAGACAATTGCCTTCAGATGACCCCAAAGATAAAAGTCTAAGGGGGTCAGATCGCGAGACCTTGGGGGCCATTCAACTGGCCCATGACGACCAATCCACTTTCCAGGAAACTGTTCATCTAGGAATGCTCGGACCTGCACCCATAATGTGGTGGTGCACCATCTTGCTGGAAAAACTCAGGGAACGTGCCAGCTTCAGTGCATAAAGAGGGAAACACATCAGCATGTAGCAATTTCAAACATCCAGTGGCCTTGAGGGTTTCCATTGATGAAGAATGGACCCACTATCGTTGTACCCCATAAACCACACCAAACCATCACTTTTGTTGTTCCAACAGTCTTGGAGGGATCCATCCAATGTGGATTAGTGTCAGACCAATAGCGGTGGTTTTGTTTGTTAACTTCACCATTCACATAAAAGTTTGCCTCATCACTGAACAAAATCTTCTGCCTGAACTGAGGGTCCTGCTCCAATTTTTGTTTTGCCCATTCTGCAAATTCTGTGGCCGATCTGGGTCATCCTCGCTGAGATGCTGCAGTAGCTGGAGTTTGTAAGGGTGCCATTTGTGAGTAGCTAATATCCGCCGAAGGGATGTTCGACTAATGCCGCTCTCCAGTGACATGCGGCGAGTGCTACGCTGTGGGCTCTTGCTGAATGAAGCGAGGATAGCCACTGATGTTTCTTCATTAGTGACAGTTTTCTTACGTCCACATTTTGGCAAATCCAACACTGAACCAGTTTCACGAAACTTAGCAAGCAGTTTGCTAACTGTAGCATGGGAGATGGGTGGTCTCGTAGGGTGTCTTGCATTGAAATCTGCTGCAATGACCCGGTTACTGCGTTCACCAGATATCAACATGATTTCACTCCTCACGTGTTAACCTCTTCAACATGTCAATGGCTGTGAACAAAGAGAAACTTGTAAATAACTCATGAAAGAATAAAGTTACGTTGAAGCCAAGCACACCATTGTTGTTCTTGTGACATTACCAACAAGTGTGATGTGTCACATGGTCCTCTTCCTATTGAAAAAACAAAAGTTGTATCCAAGATGGCCGACTTCTAAATGGCCACCATGGTCACCACCCATCTTGAGGAGTTTGCCCCCTCACGTATACTAATGTGCCACAAACAGGACTTTAATATCACCAACCATTCCTATGTTATTACGATGTATCCATATAAATGGCTCACCCTGTAGAATGGAAGCAGAGCCTTCAGTTTTCTTCACCATCTTCTGGGTCTGGGGGTGGATTGCCACTCCGGGGATGCTGGTGCCTGGACCCGGGAGTATAGTGTTTGTATGAGGAGTGTGAGCATGTGTACTACATACAGTTCTGTGTGTCTCTATGTTGGATGAGGGTGGGAATGCATGTTTGTGTCTATATGTCAGGTTGGGTCTTAGACTCCACCTCTCTCAGAACATATTTCCCCTCACCACACTCCCTTTCAGTGGCTGGTGCCCCCACCCGCTGGTGGCTGGTTCTTGGTGTCCAGGGCTGGGTGCTGAGGTATGTAGTGGCTCACTCCCAGACTCCATGGTCTGTCGGGCCCCGTCTGGGGTGTGGATGGCCTTTGGGTTTCTGGGCCCGAGACTCGGTGGAGCCTGCAGGCTCGTCGCTACAGCCCTCTGTGGCTTCTGCACAGTGGCTGCTAGGTGACGCCCATCCATGGCTCTCCTCAGCTCTTTTCTAGGTAGACCTAAGCTAACGGCAGCTAACAATGTTAGCTCAGTGGTGAGTAGCCTTCAGTAATAGTAATAAATCACACAGCAATAGTACATCAAAGATACTTAAGTGGTACATAACCCAGGCAGCTATCACAACTAAAACAAGTTAGTTGCAGTAGGCTAACGTAGTTTTTAAAAAAGAAATTCCAGATGTTTCTTTAGGTTGGAGTCTTTTGACGCTGAGAGCAGCTTGGTTGCTGGCAAAGAGAGTTCGCACGGTCAGATTTCGCCCTTCATCCCTTTCTTCTTTAAATGTGAAGTGGTGTTGGAATTTCCAAGTTAGAAATGCATTCCTGCCTGTGCACTGCTGGCACGTTGCGCTGGCTCTGGGTCCATTGTGTAACTGACGCCACCAACATTATTATTATTATTATTATTATTTTTTTTTTTTTTTTTTTTTTAGCCTGTCCCGTTTGGCTCTTTTGCCATCAGAATTGTTGTCTAAAGGCAAAGAAAGATGCCCAACGGATTTACTTTACCAAACTGACCATCCCAGCCTTGCCGTAATGGTCCATTTGATTCACCTTTTATTGTTTATTTTATTTTCACTTACTGAATACGGGACAGACTTGACTGGAGGAAAGAAGGGGAGAAAGAAAGAGGGAAAGAGAAACAGCTGAGAAGAGGGACGGGGGAGAAGGGCAAAAGACAAAAACCAACAGAATGAGCAGAAAAAAAATGCATATATCAATCACCTGGATCACCTGCTGAGAAAGAAAAAAGAAAGCAAGCAGAAGAGAACAAGAGTAATAGAATAAACAACATCACAATGATATATGGGAATATGACAGTAAATACTAAATGTTAAACATTATTGTGCAGCACATAAGATCAACAGAACACAGTGTGCTTTGAGGTAGGAGCCAAAAAGGGTGCAGTTTGTGGGTGTGATCACCCGTGTGTACACCTGTGAGCATGGACGCGCTTGTTTTTTGTTTTTTTAAAAGGTTCCTTCATGTAATAATCTGCTAGAGGGTGTGGGGGGGCCACAGCCCCGTCCTCCAGGGCGTGAAGCAGGTGTGGTGGAGATCAAAACTCCAGACATCCAGAGGCCCCCAGAACACAAGAGACCAAGGAAGACCAACAGAGGGGCAGCCGCGCCACTGTCCCGGAAAGAGCTGAGGAGAGTCCCAGATGAGGGCTCACTCAGCAGCCGCGGAGCAGAAGCCAGGGGGGGTTGCAGTGACGCGCCCGTGAGCTCCGCCGGCAGCCAGCCGTGCCTGAGTGACCGAGCCCCAGGCCGAGAGGCCGGGGGCACCCCACCTCCGAAGTGGCCCGAGCGAGCCCCAGGCTCCAGGCCCCGATAAGCGGCCGCCAAGGAGTGAGCCAGTGTGTACCTGGACGCCCATCCCCGGACACAAAGAACCACCAACGCACCGATGTCTGAGGGGGTCCGCCACTGGCAGGGGAAGTGGTGGTAGGGGGAGATAGGCCTCCAAACCTTGGAGGGCCTGAGATGTCCCCAGAGAGGTGGCGCCTGACACCCAACCTGACATATAGACACAGACATACAGGCACACACAGATACAAACATCCATTCCCACCCTCATGCTCTCATATGCACTCACTCCACACTCAACCAACGTGGAGACAGACATAAAGAGACGTTGTACACACGATCACACTCCCCAAGCGTACTCTACAAACCGGGTCTAGGTGCCCCCGCCCCTGGAGGGGGGAACTGCACCCAGACCCAGGTGGTGTTTCCCTTTTCCCTGCGGTGGGGGGAGGCAGACCGCCCCGACTCCGCAGCAGCAGGAAGGCTCCACACTCCAGACCGCAGTCGGACGGCCAACTCCTCCTTTACGAATAAATTCTTTACAAATCCTACCATGTGGATTCATGGATTTTTTTTTTCACATTCTGTCTCTCACAGTTGAAGTGTACCTCTGGTGCAAATTACTGACCTCTGTCATCATTTTAAGTGGGGGAACTTGCACAATCGGTGGCTGACTAAATACTTTTTTGCCCCACTGTACTTTCAAGGACAAAGAACATAGCTGGCCACTGACCACTTACCAGTGTGTTGCAAGTTGAGGTTGCATCAATTCCCAGATGCAGTAGTAGTAGATGAATTTGCCAAGATCCCCCCAAACTTACAAAAGCTCTGTCTGTAGACCAACAGCACAACTCAGAAAACAGAATAGCCTTTGCTACCTTTGGGACGAAGACCTCTAAGAACAGTGATTGGTTTGAAGCCAGGTCCAGCACAATTACTCTTGTTTTCTAAGTAAACTGAGCTCCAAAAGCTAAATACGAGCGCTCTCCAAACAAGAAGTCCCTCCAAGCACTTAGTGCTGCCAGAACTACAGTAGAGCAGTTAGTAGGAAAATGTCCAAGTAAATATCTTGATGCATGCTCAGTCATCCAGGTAAGGAAATCCCCAAAAGTCTATTCTCTTCATCTCTATGTAGCGTTTTCAGTGGGAGAAAGTTCAAGTGACTTCTTCAGTCTCAGCTGACTGCAGGTTTCCCCAACGGTACATTTGCATAATGACAGACACTAGCACCACCGACTAACAATAGGCCGCAAGGTCAGTTTCATGGTTATTATTTTGTAAATTGTCATTGGCAAAATGGGCAACTGATCAATGGCCATGAGTATCATTCAAAGAGAGTTAGGGAATGGCTGCAATCACAGCATTGTAAGATGGTGAAAGATGTATCCTTTGAAAGCCACAGAGATACAGTGTTTAGAGAACATGCACCTCAGCTGTTCCGATACTTCTGACAAACGAGATTACTAAAGGTTTTCGCTTAGGCAGCGGTTGTCCTTCTCTCCTGGATCGCCTGGAGCTTTCTTTAGGAGTTTTCCCCGCTTTGACAAAAGTCCAGCTGGGATAACCACATCCTCTGGGCCTTCTTGATGTGATGTTCTTCTGCCTCCCTGGCCGCTGTGTCAGTGGGAATGGTGTTCGCTCGTCCTGATGACACCCAGTTTGTGCTCCAGTGGATGATGCGAGTCAAACCTTAGATACTGATCCGTATGTGCAGGTTTACGGTACACGTCAGCTTTTAGATGTCCCCCATTACTGATGGAAATCTCGCAGTCTAAGAAGGCTAGCCTCCCACTTTTCATATCCTCCCTGGTGAAGTTGATTTGTTGGTCCACCGAGTTAATGTAATCCGTTAAATGTGGAACGTCCTGAGATTTGATTTTCACCCAGGTGTCATCCACATAGCTGAAAATCAGTGACTTTGTGGTGTTCCAGGGTAGGATACAAAAGCTTCTTTTGGACTTTTTCCATGTATAAGTTGGCCACAATTGGTGAAACTTGGGAACCCATGGCACACCCATGTTTCTGGGTGTAGTACTTACAGTAGTTGGTGCTGAAAGTGATCCTCTTGCTGAGGTCAGGGTCATCTTGTAATCTCTTATGAACTACCTCCAATGGAGGACAGAGTTGATCATACAGACAATTGGTCTTAAAGGTGCACGATGTTTATGTCTTCAGTAAACCATACAGCCTTGGTGTAGCATCCCCAGGATAAAGCATTTGGTATGAGGTCCAGTCAATAGCATCGCCCTGTTCTTCCTGGTTAAGACAATCAATCACCCTCTTCTGAGACCTGGGCTCATAAGTATTTTTGTCACTGAGCAGTGACAAAATCTTTTCATGATAGTCTTTCCTTGCACCTACACATGTCTGTCTGAAGGGTGACAATGTTGTTGTCATTACTAAGCAATGAGAGTGGCTTCCTCTTCTTTATGCTGATGTTGGAAGCTGGAGGTTTTGCAATGCTGAGGCAGGCCGAAACTTTCATCTGCAGATGTTGGATCTTGTTATACATTCACTGCTTTTATAACAAGATCCTGTTATGAAATGGCTGTGTGCAGGCAGGAGAAGGACCCAAAGTGCAGACTCCGGAGACAGAAAGTAACTCAAAACAGCTTTAATGCTGAACTCAAAAGGGTAACAAAAACTAAGAATACAAAATACACCTACACAGACAAACCACACAGCAAGATAACAGTAGATCACGACAATGACAAACTGAAACACAGGGCTTAAATACACACAGAGCAATCAGGGAATGGACAACAGGAGGGAAACACAGCTGGGGCAAATCAGGCCTAACGAGACAAAGGAAGCAAAACCAGACACATTTACATGAGACACGGATTTTCAAAGTAAAACAGGACACATAACACAGACTGAACTATAGACACATGCTCTGACTGGACACAGAGAGACAGCAACTAGAGAACACAGAGACATAAACCATAAGACAGAACTCCAACAAAGAAACCAAAGACTAGAAATGATAAGTAACATAATAAACTCAAAACTCTGGGTCAACGACCCAGGCATCCTAACAGATCCAGGCTACAGCTAAGGAAAAGGCAGCCAAACAGAGGGTGCACACTTGTAGAGGCATACCTGTATCTGATGTAGCAGGCTGACATTCCCACATCACCATCACTAGCCTAAGCCAACACTGATCCAGAGATGATGACACATCTCAAAACTAGGGCACGTCATCCAAAGTCATAACAGGGCATCAATCCTTTTCTCATTTTCAGTTGTCTTCCTATGTTGCTGCTTGGTTGGGGGTGATTTAAGTGTCTGATTAGTTTTGTTGATACATTTGTTGTTGTGGTGGTCACCCCACAGTTTACTTTGGCGTACTTTGATTCATCACTCACAGTAAAGAGCTTCCATGCCAATGACATGTTGGCTGTGAGTGTGCGCTCACTTATTCACCTGTGGCGCATGAAGTGGTTCAGAATTGGATTGGTGCAGACAGGCTTTCATTGTTCTTGCAAGACAGCGACTGTTTTTATGTGTGCCTTCCCAGGTCCACCATGTCCCCTGCTGCCACTGCCCGGCAACAGCAGGTACAAGCTCACTTCATTGGACGTTCCAGACATGGTGTCTTATCCACTGCCGCAGTCATCCTCGTCATACTCTGGCCATGCCCCCAGTTCTGTTGCCATGGTAAGTGGCCTCCATCCATCCAAGATGAACTGCACCCGCATCTTCAACCTCTTCTGCCTCTACGGCAACATTGAGAAGGTAAGTGTTTGTTTGTGTATTCTTCATGTGTCTTTGGCGTGTTTTTGTAGAAACACGGCAACAGCTGTTAATTTTATTAACAATTAATTAATAATTAGGTTGTAGAAATTGTGCTGGAAGGGAAAAGCTAGTAAAAACAATAAAAAGATTCCAGTGGAAGCAAACTCAGAAATTGTGTGTGTGTCTATCATATCCTGACAGTATATTGAATGGGATTAGACCTCTGTACATCAACACCTACTGCATTATTTAGAAATGTACTATCCGTTTTCTTGTTGTCACTCATGTGCTTGTGTGTCATTGAATTCTGTTTAATGTCAGGACATGTGATGTACCCCTGCAAACCAAACCAAACCAAACATAGGTCTGATTCTCCTTTTTTAATGTGATATCAGAGATTGTTTACATTGTTTTCTCATACAATTGAAATTTTAACTTTAGGGTTTAATTATCTGCCTCCTCCTGTTCACTTTCGGTATGCCATAAATTACTCCCAGCACTTTAACCCTCTCAGGCTCAAATTAAACTTTTTGTTGCTAATGCACAACCAAGTCCTGCAGTGGTACTTCTAAAAAAAACTCATAAAATATGTATGTGGGGTAATCAGGTTGTTAATTTTTAACTGTTGCAAATCGGCAACGCCTGCCTTGAGAGGGTTAATAATATTTCCATATCTGCTCATCGCTACCTTATAACAAAATAACGAATAGATTCTGCTGCTCCTGTAACACTTAGAGAACTTCCCCAAACATCAAACCCATTCAGTGTTCTCATAGAGTATGTTGATTTCATGACACAGTCAGAATAGCTATATTCTCCAATGTGGATTGTGCAAATTACTACCTGATGTCACAAAAAAGCACAAGTGTAAAATATCCTGACTTTAGATAGCCTTCCAAATGTCCTCTAATGTACACTGTGTCTTCTAATGGTTAACATGAAAGAATGTTTACATCAGTAAAACATGTACACTGCTTTCACAATGTATGGTACCTCTTTAGAACAGCTGTTATCTATGTGCTTGTTATAGGTTAAGTTTATGAAGAGTGTTCCTGGCACAGCGTTGGTTGAGATGGGAGATGAGTATGCTGTGGACAGGGCCATCACACACCTCAACAGCATTAAGGTGTTTGGTAAAAGACTGAATGTCTGGTAAGATGTGCATATCTTTAATTCAATTCAATTCAATTCCATTTTATTTATATAGCGCCAAATCACAACATAAGTCGCCTCAAGGTGCTTCATAGATACAGAGAAAAACCCAACAATCATATGACCCCCTATGAGCAAGCACTTTGGCAACAGTGGGAAGGAAAAACTCCCTTTTAACAGGAAGAAACCTCCGGCAGAACCAGGCTCAGGGAGGGGCGGCCATCTGCTGTGACCGGTTGGGGTGAGAGAAGGAAGACAGGATAAAAGACATGCTGTGGAAGAGAGACAGAGGTTAATAACAGATATGATTCAATGCAGAGAGGTCTGTTAATACATAGTGAGCGAGAAAGGTGACTGGAAAGGAAAAACTCAATGCATCATGGGAATCCCCGGCAGCCTACGTCTATTGCAGCATAACTAAGGGAGGATTCAGGGTCACCTGGTCCAGCCCTAACTATATGCTTTAGCAAAAAGGAAAGTTTTAAGCCTAATCTTGAAAGTAGAGATAGTGTCTGTCTCCTGAATCCAAACTGGAAGCTGGTTCCACAGAAGAGGGGCCTGAAAACTGAAGGCTCTCCCTCCCATTCTACTTTTAAATACTCTAGGAACAACAAGTAGGCCTGCAGAGCGAGAGCGAAGTGCTCTAATAGGGTGATATGGTACTACAAGGTCATTAAGATAAGATGGGGCCTGATTATTTAAGACCTTGTATGTGAGGAGCAGGATTTTGAATTCAATTCTGGATTTAACAGGAAGCCAATGAAGGGAAGCCAAAACAGGAGAAATCTGCTCTCTCTTTCTAGTCCCTGTCAGGACTCTTGCTGCAGCATTTTGGATCAGCTGAAGGCTTTTCAGTGAGTTTTTTGGACATCCTGATAATAATGAATTACAGTCGTCCAGCCTGGAAGTAATAAATGCATGAACTAGTTTTTCAGCTGAGCCTGGTTCTGCCGGAGATTTCTTCCTGTTAAAAGGGAGTTTTTCCTTCCCACTGTCGCCAAAGTGCTTCCTTAGTGGGTCATATGATTGTTGGGGAGTTTTCTTTATTTTTTTTGTGTTTATCTTACAACATAAAGCGCACTGAGGCAATTTGGCACCATATACTTCTTTATTTCTGTGTATATTATCTAGACTATTTCATGATCAGTAGATTTGTTATGCATGGATTTGATAAGAAAAGTAACACAGTTGATGTTTTTGGTTTTTGCAGTGTGTCGAAGCAGCACGCAGTAATCCCCAGCCAGGTTTTTGAGTTAGAGGATGGCAGCAGCAGCTATAAGGACTTTGCTATGACCAGAAACAATCGCTTTAGCAGTGCCGGACAAGCCTCCAAAAACATCATCCAGCCTCCATCTGCAGTGTTGCACTACTATAACGTTCCTCCGTGCATATCACAGGATCATTTACTGAGGGTAAAGTACTTCTGTCTGTTCGCTGTCCGTCTTTTCTGTGTAACTGTAAAGAACTGTTTAAAAGTATTCCAAACCTCCTAAAACATTTTCTATCCTATCATACAGAGATGTATCCAAAATCTACTTCATAATTTCTTGTTTTTTCCTGAATTAATATGATTATTATCTTGGAAATTCCAAAAAAACCCATTGTTATTAAGAAGACTGCCCTGTTTTTCTGAATTAACAAGATATCCTTAAATGCCCAAAGATCCTCTCTTGAGTTGAGCCTGATTTCTTGAGCAGTCTTTGCCATAAAGAAATCCACTCCCACATTGTATAACAAATGCTGATAAGTTGTATGTTTAATTGTTGCCTAGTGCAGAACTGCTCACACGCTGCTGTCTGTGTTTCTGTAGCTGTGCACGGAGCATGATCTGCCTGGCTTTGTCAAATTTAAGATGTTTGATGCCAAACGTAAGTAGACATTTGATTGAACAGATGAAGTCTCGTGAATGTGGTCATCGCCTGCCTTTTAATGTTCAGTCTCTTTTTTCAGCCTCTTCTAAGACCATCTCCGGCTTGTTGGAGTTTGACAGTAAGACAGAGGCTGTGGAGGTTCTTACTGTTCTCAACCACTACCAGATTAGGATTCCCAGTAAGTCCATGAGAAAAACATCCATCACTGCCTACTCTGTCAGTCTCATGCTGGAAACTTCACAAATAATTCCTGAATGTGGAGCTGGAAAATACATCTGAAGTAGAAAAAATTATTTAGATAGCTTCCACAACTTTTTCATTGTCAGGAAAAATGTTGTTTATGAGCGCGCACGTTTTAATATGTGCAAACAAGAGCCGAATGAGACTGTTGATGCATTCGTGACTGCCTTGCATGCATTAGCAGAGACAGAATAGTAGTGGGCTTGGCCAACACGAGGCTGTCTGAGCGCATGCAGATGGAAAAAGACTTGGACTTGGATAAAGCTATAAATATGGCCAGGCAGTCAGAAGAAATCAAAAAGCAACAGTCAGCTTTGAGAAGTGAAACAAATGTAATGCATGTAAATGCGAAAACAGTTGACAGAGTGATACAAAAGCACGACAAAACAAAGTTCAACATGTTCAAAAATAAAACTGTCAAAACACAACAGCAATATAGCAAGAGACAAAGTAATAAATGCTACAAGTGCGGAGGCTCTCCACATCCGAAACCTGAGTGCCCAGCAAATGATGCAAAATGTCATTTATGTGGAAAAAAAGGTCACTACCAGCGAGTCTGCAGACAAAGCAAGACAGTGCAAAGTATTGAGGAGGAAGAGGAGCAAGGTTTCTTCCTAGGCTCAGTTTCCAGTGACGGCCAGGCGTGGACAGCCAACATACAAGTGAAAGATGCAAAAATCACTTTCAAACTGGATACGGGAGCAGATGTGACTGTAATAGCTGACTCGGACTTATCAAAGATTTTTGCTAACGAACACAGACCAGTCCTCCAGCAGCCAGAAAAACCTTTGTTAGGCCCTGGAAAAACACCACTGGACGTTGCAGGTTTTACAAAGCTACAGCTCAACTACGGAGCGAAACAGACAACAGAGAAGGTCTATGTTGTAAGAAACCTGAGCACTCCACTGCTAGGCCTGCCCGCCATTACAGCTCTTGGCCTACTGGTGCGAGCTGACGCGGTTTCAATGGACACTCTGAAGACTACTTACCCTAAACTTTGCAATGGTCTAGGGAAAGTGCAGCGGGCCTATCACATTAAACTCAAACCGAATGCTGTGCCGTACTCACTCACAACTCCGCGAAGGCTTCCTCTGCCTCTGATGGGAAGGGTAAAAGAGGAACTCCAACGAATGGAAGAGCTTGGTGTCATTACCCGAGTTGAGGAACCAACGGATTGGTGTGCCGGCATGGTTGTTGTTCCAAAGAAAAACAGCCCTAGGCTAAGACTTTGCGTAGACTTTACCGGACTAAATGAGTATGTGTGCAGGGAAAAATATGTGCTGCCATCGGTTGAACAAAGTCTCGGAATGCTCGCAGGAGCCAAAGTGTTTAGCAAACTGGATGCCAACATGGGTTTCTGGCAGATTCCCCTGTCCGATGAGTCTGCCAAACTCACCACCTTCATCACACCCTTTGGGCGGTTCCACTTTAACCGCCTACCGTTTGGGATCAACTCAGCGCCCGAACACTTTCAGCGCATGATGGCGGAGGTCATCGAGGGTCTCGAAGGAGTGGTGTGTCACATTGACGATGTGTTGGTGTGGGGACGTAACCATCAGGAGCACGATTCCTGTCTCCATGCTACGCTGCAAAGACTGGAAAAAGCAGGCATAACGCTGAATGTTGAAAAATGCGAGCTCTCCCAGAGCAAGGTTGCTTTCTTGGGTCACATCATAGCGGATACAGGAATCAGTCCCGACCCGAAGAAAACGGAGGCAATTACAGAAATGACAGAGCCAACTAATGTGTCAGAGTTGCGCAGTTTTCTGGGCATGGTGAATCAAGTGGGCAAGTTCATCCCCCATTTAGCTGAAAAAGACAAAGCCCTGCGAGATCTTCTTTCCAAAAAGAACGCATGGTATTGGGGAACTGACCAAGTGAGAGCTTTCAAAACATTACGAGATGCCCTGACCTCACCCCCAGTGCTCGCAATGTATGACCCCAACAGAGACATTAAAGTATCAGCAGATGCTTCATCCTATGGTCTCGGAGGTGTTCTTTTGCAGCTGTGGGAAGAAGGATGGCGACCAGTGGCGTATGCATCGAGGTCCCTTTCTCCTACAGAACAACGATACGCACAAGTGGAAAAAGAGGCACTGGCATCTACATGGGCGTGTGAGCGTTTTCATGATTTCCTGATTGGTAAACATTTTTGTCTTGAAACGGACCACAAACCTCTCGTTTCCTTACTGGGAGGACAAGCTCTGGATCTCTTGCCACCCAGGATCCAGCGATTCAGAATGAGACTCATGCGTTACTCGTAAACTGTGCAGTACGCCCCAGGGAAATCGCTCTGGACAGCAGATACTTTGTCCTGCTCACCTCTGAAAAAACCAATGAACCTGTCAGACAAAGAGCTGATGGAAAGCACAGACATATATGTCGACAGTATTGTAGCAAACATGCCTGTCAGTTCATCATATATGCAAACACTGAAGGAACAACTGAAAAGCGACAGTGTGTTTGCTCGCGTCATGGACATGTGCACCGAAGGCTGGCCAGAACATGCAAAACAAGAGCCTTTACTGCGAAATTACTGGCCTGACCGAGCCACGCTCACTGTTGAAGACGGCCTTTTGTTAAAAGACACACGGCTTGTCATTCCTTCAGCGATGAGAAACGAGGTGCTGGAAAAACTTCACGAAGGACACCAAGGTGTGGTAAAATGTAAAGCTCATGCACGCCAAACAGTGTGGGGCCCGGGCTGAGTCAACAAATCTCTGAGATGCTGCTCAAGTGCAAAACGTGTATTCAAGAAAGACACAATAACAGTGAGCCACTCATGCCAACAGAATACCCTGCCCGCCCATGGCAGAGAGTGGGCACAGATCTTTTCGAGCTGGGAGGGAAAACTTACCTTCTCGCTGTTGACTATCACTCTAGATTTGTTGAGATTGCTTTGTTAAACAGGACAAAATCAAACGATGTCATTACTCACCTGAAATCTTTCTTTGCCCGTCACGGCATCCCAGAGGTCCTCATGTCTGATAATGGGCCACAGTATTCAGGTCAAATCTTTACAGACTTTGCAGCAGCATACGGCTTCAAACACATCACAAGCAGTCCCAAGTTTCCGCAAAGTAATGGAGAAGCAGAACGTGCTGTGCAGACTGTAAAAAATCTTCTGAAAAAAGCAGCTGATCCTTATCTAGCTCTTCTTGCCTATAGAGCTACACCACTGCAGTCCGGATACAGCCCTGCAGAGCTTTTAATGGGCAGACGTCTGCGAACCACACTGCCGATACTTCCATCGCAGCTGGAGCCCACACTGCCGGACAACGCACTGCTCGCTCAAAAGGAAAGGGAGAAGAGGATGATGGACGTGGCAAACTTCAACAGGCACCACCGCGCAAAACCTTTATGCAGCCTGTCCCCAGGAGAGCAAGCTTGGGTGACTGATGTCAAAACTACAGGCACTGTTATCCAAAATCACTCTACACCCCGATCATACACAGTGGAGTTACCACAAGGGACTGTGAGGCGTAATCGTGTGCATTTGATTCCTTTAAGTTCACCTGTGCATGAACCTGCTAATGTGCCTGTGTTGCAGAAGCCTCAAACACCCAGTGTGATCCCTGCTACACCTGTTAACACTGATGTGGTCAGAACCAAGTCAGGGAGGCCAATAGTTAAACCTAAAAAGTTAGATCTGTAAGAGAGAAAAAAAAAGGTTGTTGTTATATAACTGTGTTATAATGGTTTTGTAGAGCACAGTAAAATAAAGCTAAAAAGAGTTGTTAAGAAAAGAAAAGAACAAGAAAACAAAAACAAAAGGTTAAAAATGTAATGCAGATTGTTTGCCAGATGTTCTTGTATGGCTTTGAAAAAGAGAAAAAAAGAATCAAGAGGTAGTCTGGTTGGAAGTTCTGTCTTGAGAAAAGTAATATTCTGTTTTTGTTTAAAAGGGGATGTGGTGTATTCATAATTGTCTCTGGTACATTTGTTGTATGGGCAGTATGTGTTCACTGTTTGATTGTGTAATTACGTGTTACGCACTGGCAATGCATGCCGGTAGATGGTAATACAGGAAGTAAAGAGATGGTCTTACCGCACACAGTGGTCCCGCGTACTTATTCAGATTCAGAGTAAGAATCACACAACTGATGCAAGCCAGATCCTTTTATTAAGCAAAACTGTGATTAATAGTTAAATATTATTGTTGAGGGGCACAGACAGGACTCCGCACGCACGCACACATTAAAAAAATAATAATAATTTTTAAAAAAAAAGTTGCCTCAACAAAAGGGCACTTTGGGCACCCATCAGGAAAGGGGCGGGTGCTCAAGCCCCTCTAGCCCCCCCCTCTGCACGTGCCTGCTGCAGGTATCAGGCTGTTGTTCTCCTTCATCTCATAGTGGACAGAAATTAGACCATTGTCCTCACTTGGTCTGAGGACAATGGTATACACACACACACACACACACACACACACACACACACACACACACACACACACACACACACACACACTTTTCCAGCTAAATGCAAATACATGGAAGGGAGCCTTATCAAGCCAAACCTGTACCATTCCTTTTGCCCTCACATCTTTATCACAGTTGATATACCAGTCAGGCTGTTATGCTAAGTATGCATTTGTTTGTGTTTCTTTTTTCAGATGGGTCCAACCCATACACACTCAAACTGTGTTTTTCCACCTCATCACATCTATAAAGAGCTACCGAGCTTACAGAGAGCTGCTGGACCTGCTGATAGCTGACCTCTGACCAAAGGAGGGAGCATGAAAGGCAGACGCAAAGAGGAGTGAGGCAGAGAGAAACACAGATGAGAATAATAAAGGATGGAAATGGACGGGTATTTATAGAGTGCTTTTCTAGTCTTACTGACCAATCAAAGCACTTTGAGTTTGATGGCCACCAAAGAAGAACGTGGTAATGGACACTCTGAGGAATCCACTCTACATTTAGACGTCTGTACAGGCAACTGAAGTCACATTTTATGTTTAAAAAAATGTAAAAAAAAATTAAAAATGGAAACAATTTTAACTTGCTGTCATTTAAGGTTTCTTAGTGTTACATAAACTTGCTGCCCTGTGGGAGCTAAGCTTACAGGCCGAGCTTTCACTGCAGTGCTTGGTCAGCATGAGATGCGTAGCTAATTTATGAGTTTACTATAAAAATATTAACACATGACATCTGGAGGAATCATGTTAGGAATGTCATCAAGGTTTCAATGACTATTTATGTTTATCAGAAACAAAACTTTATTGTTCATGTAAAAAATCAGAACCGCGTCTGGTTTGTTTTAGCCTAACCTGAAGAAATGAATCCAATATGTAGACTAACTTGTAGAGAAGAAACTCTCTCTGTCATGATATTTGCTGAGAAACTTCAGAGGACGATACACATTTTATACACCTCAAGTGTCCCGAAGCAGCCCACGTCAGAAACCTGTCTAATGACATATTAATAAGCAGCTTGGAATGAGTTTCCATGTCTGGACATGTTAAAAAATGAGATGTTGACATCGACTGAAAACATTTTTCATATATTTTAAAGTGGATCAAAGTTATTTTCCCCACTTAATGTGAGTTTAAAATGAGTCTACTGACGTTTTCCCCAGAATTCTGTGCATATATCTGTAGATCTTTTAATATATCAGTATTTGAATTACTGTACACAGAAAATTGTAGTGGGTTTTATTAGAGTCAGCTGCGACCTCTTGTGTTTTCTGTATAAATAGAAATCAATTGCGTGCTGTGTCCATTTGAGGTCATTTTAGAATCAAAATGTATGTTATTGTCACAGAGTTGCTGGACTCTCCTTTATTGTAACAGTGAAATAGATGTGAACTGAAAACAGTGCAAATCTACAGTCCAGAGATCAGAATATGAGTTATTCTTGTTTATCTGATTCAGGACTTCTTTGATCTGTAGCAAGCTGAAAACAACATTAGCCACGAGTCTGAGAGGAGGCTTCTGCATGTAACTGCACTCAATGCTTCTTAGATGATTAAACTGGGGATACTGGACACATTGCATCAGCTTGTCAGCATGATCTTTAAATGTCCCTGCTGTTACCTTAAGATAACATGTTTTCAGTTGTAACAGGATGTAAACTACCTGTGTTGATATATATGGAAACGGCAATTTTATTTATGCAGCACACGTGCTAAAACCCGTGTACGTTTACAATGCCTTAAGGCAATGAGAACCACAAAATATAAGTTTAAAAAGCAGAAAAAAGTCAAATAAAAAACACCCACTGAGTGAAGGCCTGTGTAACTAAAAAGGTGTTGAGTGAGCACAGCTTTGACTGATCTCAGGTCAGCAAGCAGCAGGACGTCATCCTTACATCTAATATTGTGATCGAACAGTTAAAAGATGTGAACCTGAAGACCTGAGCTTTAACTTGAAATGCGCTGTAGCTCATTCCAGTATAAAATGCGTTGATGTTGAAAAAAGAATAACAGAAGTACCATTTGTCCAAGCAGAAAAGAAAAACGTAAATGTTGGAATCTGACACTTTTACAAGAGCAGAGGGATCACATCTAACCTGGGAGGAAACATTTCCTGATGGTTGTGGTCTTTTCCAGGATCACATAACTGTGTGTGCGTCATGTGACATTTCACCCACAGTCACATGATCTCGAGCCATTTTAACACCGGTGGGGGATTTTGGACCTTTGAGTTGGACAGTGCTCTCCTGCATTACGCTACTAACAATGATGAAATCAGATTTGGAGGAATGCTCGTCATCACTTATGCTGGATTTTAGAGATTTGGAGAATAAATATCAGGGAGAGTTTGAATCATTAAGTGTCCCAAACTCGATCTCTTAATTGCATCTGCATCATAGAAATATGTGATCTGTTTGCACAACAGTTACTGAGGACAGAAGGAAAAACTCGTAATAAAAAGCATTTTAATTTGTGCAATATTCCGTCTGTTAATCTCAAATCTAAGGTAAAAAAGGTAAAACTGTTTTGGATCAAATACAAAGAGCCAAGTGTCTCTGTTTAGTCAGACTCACGGATTCTAGAACTGAGGCGTCCTTGTTGTAAATAATATTTGAACATAAGCAATAATAACAGACAAGTTGTTGCTTATGTACTTGCTGTGTAACAGTTGTAAATGGGCACTAAGAGGTTTGTATGTAACGTGCTGTTTCTACAGTGATTTCATTTGTTTTTTGGTTACTTTGGGGTGTTTTTGGACAAATGAGGGCCTTTGAGTTCTTAACCCTCTCAGCACTGAAATAACAGAAATGTTATATTTTTGTTACTAAATATAGTTACATGGGTTACTTGTGTTCAAAATGTTACATTCAGATGATGGAATTCGCTGTTACATACTAACTTTTATCTTTTAGTTCTACATTTGTTCTTTTGTAAAGTGTGAACGACCCAGTGCAGCAGTAAAATGTAAACCGTGGCAAAAGCCTGAGTGTTAATCACATAACTGATGGTTTGAGACAAGGAAGCAGGTATAAGTTATGATTTTAAGACAGTAAATGTTTGATATTGTTAATAGTTTGTTGTCATTAAAAAAATCCTAAAACAATGTTGTTTTATTTCAAGACATTCTGTGGTCTAAATGATACGTACCTGTTCAAACTGAATAAACCTGTTTTGAGGCTGTAAAGCCG